TATATATATATATAAAATTGCACTTCTTCTTTCTCTTAAAGAGTTGAGAAGAAGGCAAGCCTCGCGCCGTCGCCGTCGCTCACTCGGCTCGGCTTTGGCTATGGATTTGGTCAAATGATCTGATTGATTGAGTAACTTTTTAAGCCAAATTTATTTGATAATATTAAAATTAACGCAATATTATTTAATCCAAGTTCATCTGTTTCTGATTTCTCCTTCTTTCTTTTGCATTGTTTTAATAGAAAGAAAACAGTAAGTGTGACTTGTTACTGATCTTTGAGTTCGTGGTCACTGGGGTTTGAAGTACCTCTACACCAGTGAGAGTAATCCGTTCTATGCTCGGAGGAAATAATCCTAATCTGGAGTACTGTGAGGGGATTAAGTTCCTTGAGGAAACACTGTGAATAATGGGCTCGGAATTATTTTTGTTCTTCTACATTTCTGTTTTCTCATTGCTATTGTTTTTGTATATATTTTTCGAATACAGAATACTAACAGAGAGATGAGGGTTGTACCCAATATAGGGTACTTCGAGAGGGTAGTTGCTATAAACCCAAAAAGTAGCTAGAAATTATAATTATTTTAAATTATATTTATCTATAGTAAATATAGTGTTCAAATTAGTTATGGGGTGTAAACTTTCCTAAAATGATAGTTAACCAACGCACGCCCCATATGGCTAGGCAAATTAATATACCATTAATTATACTAATTTTTTTGGTAAATAAATTTTTATTATCAATCGAAAATATGTACACAAGAAAAAAGAAACAAACTGACTGTTGGACATGATGCCCCAACATCAGGATCTCCAAAGCCACCCATATCATCTCACAACTACACTATGGCTAACTACTACATCCACATAGTTAAGAATAGAAATTTAATTGATCAAGCATTGTTCCTCTACAACATACCTCTTGGATAATCTGTTTCATAATATGCTTCAAATCTGACTGCGTACCTTGGAATATTTGTTGGTTTCTTTCTTTCCAAATGTAGTACACACTCGCTGCAAGTGCCATTTTCTATATCTCTGCCTCGACTCTTCTTCCTCTTGCATAAACTTCAGCGCACTTTAGTTCATCTTGCTAATACCATTCTGCTTATCCCTTTCCAAGCTGGGACCTTTTTCCAAATATAGGAAGACATATCACATTGAAAGAATAAGTTTGAAATACTTTCGTTCCCAGTATTACAAAGTGGACAAGCCAATGGAACCTCCATTCCTCATTGTATTAGTCTATCTCTAGTAAGCAATTTTCCATTTGCCACAAGTCTTAATATGAATATCCATTTGGGAGCTCCTAATTTATTACACACTAACTTCCTCCATGAAACTTTAGTAAAAACAGCTCTCATTTTAGTGTACAGCTTCCTAATAGAGAATTTTGACAGTGATTGAAACTCATTAGCATTTATTCCTGCTAGTTCAAGATAGTTGTTAGCTTTTATGATTTTTTGCACTACCCAGGATGCTTGTTTTGGCGCAACCTTCAATACTTTCCTTTCCTTTATATAATAGTTATGTACCCACTTGACCTATAGGCTATCCTTCTTGCTACACAAATTCCATAATAGTTTGCATATGGCAGCTTTGCTCCAGCTGTAAATATCAAGGATATTCATACCTCCTGCTACCTGAGGATAGCAAACTCTATCCTATGCATGCAAAGCCCTCTTTGATAGTTCAACTCCTCCGGTCATAAGAATTTTCTACATGTTGCCTCAATTAGCTTAACTATCTTTGCAGGCAATACAAATATCTGTAACCAAAATACTTGGACCAAAAAGAGAACATTCTTTATCAGCTGGACTCTTCCTGCATAAGAGAGGATTTCGCTGTCCAACTTTGAATTCTTCCCATCATCTTTTCCAGCAAAGGTTGGCATTGAAGCACTGAGAGTCTCTTGGTGCTCAGGGGAACACCAAGATATCTTATTGGTAACTCTCCTTTAGTAAACCCAGTTAACTCCATGATTTGCTATTGAACTGTTGCATCTACACCTCCAAAATAAATGGAGCTTTTGTCTCTATTAGCACTCAGTCCAGAAGTTGTTGAGAACTCCTGGAAGCAATCAAATAGCATTTGAACAAACTTCACATTACCCCTGCAAAATAGTAGTAAGTCATCAGCAAATTCTAGTTGTATAACATTCATCTTCTCAAACTTTGGATGATAGTTAAAGTCAGGCTCATTCCCCAGACTCTTTAGCACTCTACTGAAATATTCCATCACTAGAACAGATAGAAATGGGGACATTGGGTCCCATCGCCTTAATCCTTTTTTTGCGGTAAAAAGCTCTGTTGGTTGCCCATTGATAAGAATAGAGTAGGATATACTTTTCAAGCATTCCATGATCCACTGAATGAATTAAGTAGGAAAGTTTAGTCCAACCAAAACTTGTTCTATGAATATCTACTCTACAGATTCATATGCCTTTGCATGTACACTTTCAGCATACATCTTAGAGATATACCTCAACAGTTTAGTTTTTGTTTCATATTTCTATTGATTAATTTGCACTCTCATGCCTTGGAACGCTGGCACTTTGGCAATATGTGATTGTTCATAGTATACATTTTTGCCATTTTAGTATTTAATTCTATAGTTTCGCCTTCGTTTTTTTTAAAACTTGGGAGAGGAAAGAATCAAGCAGTGAACAGCAGTGACTGAACAGGAAAATGTGCAACAAGAGTTCTTTATTACCCTCCTTGACTAATGGATGCAATTTTTGTTTTTCTTCCGACAATTTTTTTTAAAAGGTCCGTTAATGATAAAAAGTAGTTTTGAACCTTTTCTGTTTTAATGGAGAGTAAACCTATCCTATTTCCAATTGTCAAGGGGCAGTTTTGAACCTTTTCTGTTATTTCTTTCAATTTTCTTTTTATTCCTTAGGATGATAGGATTAGTTTGTAGTAATATGGTCAAAGTTGATATGAACATGCCCTAAAGACATTTTCTCATATCTTCAGCACATACACTAGGTACGCTAACACTTTGGATATATTAGTTGATTCATGAACCTCCCTTTGGTTCTTGATTTTAGATGTGCCGTTTGATGATAAAGCTTATTAGCTGTTCCTTTGGATTCTCATTTAATTAATTAAAACTGGGGAAGAGTATGTCAAGCACAAAACAGGGGTCACTTTTGGAGAAATGTGAAATGCTTCGTAGAATGTTCCCCATATAGGGCGCGTCTGGAATGTTCCCCATATATCGGTTTGATGTTAACTAGGAAAACTGTCTTATTTAGCTCCCGTTTAGCCATAAAATTTGGGATCTATTTTTTTCTAAAATTTATTTTCAATTATTTATTTGTTTATAGATTTAGCAATTTTTTGATAGATTTTAATTATTATTATTATTATTATTATTATTATTATTATTATTATTATAGGTTGTAGTAAGTGACGGGCCTTAGCTCGTCATTACTTCGTCGAGGTTAGGCTCAGTGCTTACAGAGTACATGAGGTCGGTGGTACTCATACTACGCTCTGCACTTCTTGTGCAGATTTGGAGTCGGTCCTAGCGACGGTCAGTAGATTGCTTGGATCTGGTGCTTGACGGAAACTTGAAATA